ACTTTATCGATTAAGAGGTTATTGATCATGTTTCAGATAACTGGTAAGTCTCTTCAACTCATATACTGTTTGAAATACTTTATGGTTTATTAATCATCTTATCGATCATGCATTTATTGATAACCAGTTCTAAAATTATTTGACAAAACTTCTTTGGTTGATCGATCAGTTATTCAATCAAGTCCCTCTCTATTTTACTCAGTTCAAATGCCTCTTGGTCAATAATCGATCACTTGATCAATAATTAAATTATTGATCACTTAATTGATTAATCTCACGGTTTTCTATCTGAATCAGTCTAAGTTTTTTAGAATAGTTTTCTCTGACAGTAATCGATCACTTAATCGATAATTTAATTCTCGATCATTTAATTGATCAACGTCATGTTTTTCTGTCATATCAGTCTAAGTCCTCCTAAATTGCTTTTGGGATAACTTGTTCGATCAAGTCTTTATCGATAACATCTCATATTAATGTGCTTAAAATTATTTTCTACAATTATCGATAAGTTGTTGGATAAAGTGAATTATCGATAATCTGTTCTATAAAGTTCAGATATACTTCTTGAAATTGTTCTTGACGATATTTCTCAGAAAATATGATATAACTATCTTTAAGCTTTTCTCAGCCTTCATTAAAGATTTTATACTCTTATGAAAAATAGAGAAGGTTCCTAATTGAATTTACAAGCTTTTTAACGAATTTCAGAAATATTTTCTTGTTGACTTTATTTCACCATTTATCGATCACATGTTCCATAAATAAATGATCTGTAATAACATCGATAAACGACTTCATTTTTTAAGTCTGATATCCCCTCTATTAATCGATAACTTAATCGATCAAGGGTTTATCATTCAGGACTTCGATAATTTGACTCTCTGATTATTTGATCTGTGATTTTATGATTTCCATTTCCTGTATTAAATCAAAGGATCATCATTTATTATGTTATTCACTCATATTCACTTGAGAAGAAAACTTATCTTTGTATTGAGACATTTCCTATAGGTTATGATGCTCAACGGATACATTTTATAGGCTCAAGCTACCTGTGTCAGAAGCATTTATTACAAACAACTGTTGTAACTATTGAGTACACGCAAACGATATCCCAATGACTACAAGCTCTTGTGTCTAACAAAAATTGAAGATCTCTAACTATAAATTGCACGAAGAGCATTGAATGAAGTAGTGAATACATCGAGCTACCAACTGACGAAATTAATCTCTACATTCATTACTTTGTTTTTTTTGTACCTGAGCTTCAGTGTTTATCCCAGATACTCTTGAGAGAGAATCCATAAATCGTTTTCTACCTTCAATGAGCAACTTAAGAATCTAGGATTCTTGAGGGGTTTGTAACTTTACAAGAAGTAAGAGGGAGTGATTGAGAGTGACTCAATTGTTGTATTGTGACATTAAGAGCCTGTTGATTGTGAGTGGAAAACTCAGAGGCGCTCTGAGAACTGGATGTAGGTCAAGTGGTTGAGACCAAATCAGTATAATCTCATGTGTCGTTCTTCGTTTGTTCATCCTCGGTGAAATCTTTCGAAACTTGTCTCCATCGCTTTAATTGGTTATTTATTTTATTAAGTCAATTTTTTATATATCACTCAATTCACTCCCCTCTTAGGTGAAACTGCTACTAAGACAAATGTGTTTGTTAGTCATTCAAAAAGACTGCAAAAACAACTGATCATTGTATATGCAACTCATACTAACATAAATATTATAGTATAAATTACATTATTGGGAGAATTAGAGAGAAGGACTAATGAGAAGTGGGAGATGATCATAAAAATTAAAGAGAAAATTACACTCAGCTCCCACACAAGACAATTAATTTACAAAAAGTCCCTCAAAATCCCAAAATAACTCCCAAGTCCCCAGGGACCTGTGTGTAATAAATTGTAATTGTGAAATTACCTATTTACCCCCATTCATTTACAACCTCAACAGCGGCTGTTGACAACCCGAGAAGAAGTGGTTAACAACCTCGGTAGTACCCTTGGTATCCTACAGAGTGAGTTGTCAGGGACACCGCCGAGGTTGTTAACAACTTCTCCTCGGGTTCTCAACAGCCACTATTGAGTTTGTAAATAAATTACTGCAATAAAATTAATGAGAGTAAATAGGTAATTTCATAATTTCAATGTATTACACATAGGTCCCTGGGGACTTAGGAATCATTTTGGAATTTCTAGGGACTTTTATGAATTAATTGTCTTGTGTGGGACCTATATGTAATTTTTCCAAAATTAAAATTGTTTTAAAGGACCAAATATTCAAATATAAATTTAAAAATATCATATCGTCTCTATCCAAAGCTCATATTTTTTCTTGCATTTTGATTTTAAAACTAATATGAATTAATAATGAATTTCTATCAAAATTTACAACCTACGTAAAAATCAACTAAAAAATACGCAAACATTGTTTAGTTAAGTAAAAATTAAAGTTTTATTTTCTTTATAAAAAATTTTCTTTTTAAAATGATCACAAATTTCAATTAAAAATAAAAATTTATATAATTTTATTAAAATTTATATTTTTACATAATTTATTATGTACACAGTTTTAAAAAATTCAAAGAAAATTTGAATAATTTAACTTTTTTATTTTACAAGAAATTTATATAAGACTTAGAGACAAAACAATTCGTGCAATGTTAAGAAGTTTAAACAATTTAGATGATATTTTATAATTTTATGTAAAATTTATAACCACAATTGCCTTTATTAATCGTAATCCAAAAATATTGTTAATACAAAATTTCAATAAATCCTGTAATTTGTTTTGACCAGAAATAAATCCTATAATAAATCACAATACAAACAAATGATAATAAGGTTTTTTTTGGGTGGAGAATGATGCTTTTTTAACATCTTAATCTACTAATTACTAAAATACTAGGTAGAAAATTTAACATATTTAAAATTATTTTATTTAAAAAAATTATTTTTTAGGGTATATCCCTTATTGTAATTTTTTAAAGTGAAATATACTTCCTCTTATATTTTTTATTTTATTTATATTAATATATCATATAATTAGGCGGCTTTTGTTAAATGATTTTGCGGTGGGTTCTTGTAAAATTATAAGATATTATCTGAATCTTTAAATTTCTTATCATCAAATGAATTTTTTTTATTCTTAAATTTGATATAAATTTCTTATAAAATAAAAAATAAATTATACGATTTTTTTTACAATTTCTTAAAACTGTGTATATAATAAATTATATAATAGTATAAATTTTAATAAAATTATATAACTTTTATTTTCAATTAAAATCTGTTATGGTTTTAAAAGTAAAATTTTAATTTTCTTATGAAGAAAATAAAATTTTAATTTTTACATCATAAAACAATGTTTGCATATTTTTTCAATTGCTTTTTACGCAAGTTGTAAACTTTAAAAAACATCAAGTTTAATTTAGTAAAACTTATTAATTCGTATTAGTTTTAAAAATAAAATATAGGAAGAAATATAGGAAAAAATGTAAGGGGTTTGGATAGTGACAATATGATATTTTTAAATTTATATTTGAATATCTGGTACTTTCAAATAATTTTAATTTTTATGATTCTCTTCTATAAATATCACTCCCTATTGGTCCTCCTATCTAATTCTCCTTACATTATTTGCTTCCGCAGGACATACAAGCAGGTCTTGTATTTGTGTATTTTCAATTTTTTTAATAAATTACATTATTTATATCTTGACTCGTTATTTATCTTATTTTCATATTCATGTATGAAACCAACAATGAATTTATGTAAAATATATGATATAGAGCAAATATTTCTTATCTTAAGAATGTTCAAACAAAAATTTTTAATTAGAAAACATGCGTTTCAAATGTTCAGGAATTGTTTTTAGTCAGTGAGAAAACGAACATGTATCCCTCTCTGATGCCTCTTGGACCTATGCTGTTTTCAATATTTTTAATAAATTTTATTATTTATATACGGGCTTCTTATTGATTTTAAGTGAACACATGTCCTTTTGAGATGCTAGCTCTTTACAGTTTTTAATTTCTTAATAAAATTTAACTATTTATTCCTTGTATTTCTATTAATATCATTTTTATATTTATGCATGAAATTAATGAGGAATTTATTCAAAACATATCTCATATTAACAAGCATTTCTAATTTAAAGAACTTTTAGAATTTTTTTTAAGTTTGTCTTTGTGCTTAAAAAGTTTGGAATTGTTTTCACTAAGTGAAAAAGTAAACATATATCCTTGATGTTTATTTTAGGATCAATGTGTTTATCTATTTTTAATAAATTATATTATTTATATATTCACTTGCTCTTGATTTCATTTTTATATTTATAAATAAAATCAATAATCAATTTATTCAAAACATAATAGATATAACAAATATTTATCATTTTAAGAATGTTTGAAGTTTTTTTAAGTAAGGATATGTGGTTTGAAATTTTATGAATTATTTTCACTAAGTGAGAAAGTAATGTCCCATTATAATGCCTACTTTCAGACCCGTGCAACTTTCACCCATTTAAATAAATTAAATTATTTATATTTTAGCTTACTATTAATTTACTTTTTTATGTTAATGTATAAAATTAATGATAAATTTATTTAGAACATATCATATATAGCAAATATGTCTTATTTTCATAATTTTAAGTGTTTCTCTATCATGGTTCTGTCTTAAAAGCTTAGGAGTTATTTTTACTAAATAAGAAAGTGAATATATGTCTTTCTCCTGTGCCTGTTATTGACCCATGCGGTTCACTTTTTTTTTTTAAATAAATTGTATTATATATCTTTATATTGACATGCCTTTAATTTTATTATATTTATGCACAAAACCAATGATGAGTTTATTCAGAACATATCACATAATATTTCTTAAATGTTTAGATTTATTTTTAAATATGGATTTGCACTTTAAAAGTTTGAGAATTATTTTCACTAAGCAAGAAAGTAAACACGCGTCCCGTTATGATGAGACTTGTACAACTTTCTCAATAAGGAACAAATTGATACAGAGCAGGAAAACAGTCCCTGAAAACTAGGGAACGAATCTAGCAAACTAACTAGTAAATAAATTTGAATCTGAACAGTAATAGAAAATATCATGCACACAATTACAAATAAAATTAAATGAAGGTAGAAAAAAAGGGACTGTCAAAAGTTCCAAAGAGAGTTTATCTCTCTATAGCATGTATAACATCCCATGCTCCTTCCTCCAAATAGTCACGTCAACCCTTCTTGATCTTTGAGACAGCTTCAATCACAATAAGAATGAAATATCAGATAAAAATGAGAAGCATCCAGTTAATTAACTCAAATAGCAAATGCTCACTCATTTCCATCCTCTGCCATGCATCCTAAACCCTGTCAAGATATCTTCTAAAACAAAGCCATAGATCCATCCAATTTGCAGACAAAAGAAAATAAAATAAAAACATACTAAATGAAGATAACACCAATCTAACATACCATAATTTTCCAAAATGACGTGACTTTAAAGTGGATATGTGAAGAATATGCTGGCCATTGAGGCAATGATGAATCAAGAACAGTCAATAATTAAGAATATAATTCCATATGGCTCCTCCAATCGGGCCCAATCCTCCAGTCCCAAGCAGCTGCATATTCTTCCATGTCGAGATATACTTTCCACACATCTCGACCCTCATTATTAACAGAGACCTAGAATTATCACATCCAAAAGTAGTATAGATTAGCAGTTAAATCTGAAAACAAAAGGATGCACTCATAAGAGGGTGAAAGCCTGAAAGATAGAGTTCTTATCATAAGCATAGAACAGACTACCAGGGGCACCACTACATAGTCCAATAATACCCTTCATTGCTGCATCTGAAGCTCAATCACAGTGAAGTTCCTCCAGGATGTGCTCACTAATTTTATTTACAATTTACAAATGTTTAAACTTAGAACACAAGCATAAAACTACCTAAGAGAAGCATTTTTTACATGGGAAATATGAAGCAAACAATTGTACAGATGATGAGTAGACGCACCTTGACCCTATTGCCTGTCAGTAGCAACAAATGAAATTCAGGCAATCACATATAACTTGGTTTAACTACATCTACACCCTTGGTTTAACTACATCTACACCCTCATACAATTTTGAGTAATCCAAAAGAGCCCTGCTTTCTACAAAATTTTCATCCGTGTTTGGAGAACCTAAAAATTATTCTTTGCAGGTATTTTCTTTTTGTTGTGTCTCATAATATCATTAACCGTGTTATCGTATTACCCAGTTTACATTTAGTCTCTCTCTCGTATTAAATGTTATACATGCTGAAGGACGAGTAAGACAATTCATATTCAAAATATTCTCTATTTTGCCTCCTGTCTTTTCTCTGTAAAGCTCTCTTTTATCCCTGGGTTAGAGCCAAGCTTTATGGTAACAATGCCTGTCTCTCTAATCTTAAATCTCTAATGGTTCAAGCAACCAAGAACCATTTAGGTATGATGGTGTGCTCTCATTTTTTAAACCTTTTCCTTTGTCATTGCTGCTTCTGATTGGTTTTGGTCTATATCCTTCTAAACCTCCCCTATTCACACATGCGATCAGCTTCACTGCCATCTTCCTAAATCATTGTCATTGACATCTCAACCCAATCTACCACAGCTTGAACTAAGCGTAGTAATAACCATCTGGCACCTATTTTGTGAAACAACTATGACTTTCACGAGGCCAATTCGCCCCTCTGCCCATTTCCCTGCTCACCCAAAGCCATTAAGCATAGATGGGTACTCACAGCTCTTGGATGATGAAAATCAATTTCAAATATTATATTTAGTGGTTTTTTTCTTTTCACAAAAACTAGATCTCTCAAGTCACACTAGAAAGGAAAAGTAGGAAAGAGAAGAGCAATCTCACAAGAACCCAGAATTCTACTCTGTAGCTTGCGATGAGTGGCGTTACTCACCCAAATCAGAACAACACTTGCAACAAGAAAAACAACAACAACGATGAGAGGAGAAGAGGGAGCAAAAGAAACGAAACAAAATCTTTTTTTTTTTTGTTTGGGGGGGGGGGGGGGGAGGACAGAACAACGTAAAACCTGTGGGCTAGAGAAGCACCCGAAGACGACGAGTGTTGTTTCTCTCCCTTCTTCATGGTTTTCATAGCCTTTGCAAACGCCGAAAAAAAGTAACCCATTTCACAACAAACACTAATATCAGATTATCAGCACAAGCAAGTTTAAGAGAAAACATAAACAAATACGTAAATGCTAACCCTCTTTCACCCTAAACTCCACTCCATCAGATTTTGATACAAGTGCTCCATCTTCAAGCCGAGCTTCACATTTAACTGCATCATTTGGGGGCAAAGAGCATAGTCAGGACTCAGAAGTCAACATACACAACAAATTACGCTGGAAATCAAAGAAGGAGATGATGGGGGCTTTAATCTGAGAGAAAACATTCCAATAGATGAAGAAAGAAGAAAGGAATCGAGAAGAACTGACCGGGGATGAAGGACGCCGCTAGAAGACGAAGAAGTTCTGCTCGCGATGTTAAGCAGTGAGCACAGGAGAAGTTTTGAGGAATCGAATGAAGCTTCTTGGTTCAGGCATACCCTCGATCTCAGAAAGCAATGAAGAGGAGCGACCAACATTCCGCTAATGGTTTATATAATTTTAATTAAAATATGTTAATAAATTAAAATCCTTTCTTCTGGCCAATTTTCGAATTTTAAATTTCCAGCACAAGAAAAACTCATCGCATAACACAAAAATTTAATTTCTAATATATTCACAAAATTAATTAGTAAAGATATTTTCAAATTCAGTTGGCAGTTATAGTCATAGAATTAGGGATATACTCCTCGGGTCCTTAATATAGGACCCAATTGATGAGTTGGTTTTGATCCTAAATATAAGACCCATTTCTCATATTTATCAATTTTCTCTAAATTACCCCTATGGATACTTCTTCAACCATAATCAAGTAGAAGAGGAAGATGTGGTATTAAGAAATATGATTATGGTATTTTAAGAAAAACGTGTCATATTTCTTATAATTAACTAATTTACCTAACTTCCTTAATCTAATCAAATTAGTTAAATGGGTCTTATATTAAGGATTGGAGGAGTATTATTTATTAAATTGTGAATGCGGGTTCACATAATTTCAAAAACAATTAAGAAATGGCTGAATTTACGCACAAATTGAATGGACAGTTACGGAAAACATTAATTTAAAATAAATTAGTGTAGATATTTCCAAATTCGCTGGGCAGTTATAAAACTGGTATATTACTCCTCCGGTCCTAATTATAAGACCCAATTGACTTATTTGAGGAAATTAAGGAAGTAAGTTAAGTTGGTTATTTATAATAAATAAGTGTTGTCATTCCTAAAATATCCTTGCTAATTAAGTATATTGGCTAAAACTATCATTATTAGAAGGATTATCTTGGAAAAAAATGCATAAATATAAGTGACAAAATGGATTGGGTCTTATAATTAGAACCAAATAAAAAGTCAAATTGGGTCTTATAATAAGGACCGGAGGAGTACTATTTATTTAATACAAATTATAATCATTTAATATAATATTCTTTACAAAGCATTTTTCTTGTAATTAGTAATTTCTCGCAATCTTTTTTTTTTTACATTTAAAAAATCATCCTAATTATCAATGGCGTTTTCCAAATTTCAAAATTAATTTTGAACAAAATTTTTTTCTATTTATCTTTGAGGAAAGCCTGCGCATGATATCAATATGCTTTGGTCAAAAAATTGCCTATATTCAAAATTACTTGCGATAAAAAAATTTCAAAAAACTTGGAACGCGGAATCTCAATTTTTTTGCATTTAAAAATTCATTCTATTTATTTTTTAGAAGAGTCTGCCACGTGGCATGATATAAGCATGCTTTGGTCTTTGCTTTTATATAACTATTTTAGTACTCGTACAATGCATATGTATGAATTCGTGATTTTTTATATCATATAAAAAGTTGAATTACCACAAAATAATTAGTCGAAGATAACATTCTGTTTTAAATCATAACTTCATGTTAATTTAAAAAATTGAATATCCATAACATTTCAAAGCATGCAATATATATAGCTTTATTATTATTAACATTTTATTGTTCAGCATTATATCCATTGTTTAAATAAAATCCATTATTTGGTAGAGTGGCCTCTTTTGAAAATTTAGGTAAATTAAAATTAGTGCATACTAAACATCAACAAATTTGACATAGTTATTTTTTATATTTAAAGAGGATTCCTAGAGGAAGCAGGGGCTTTCACTTCTGTATTAAATAGTGAGTTAAAACTCACATATTTGATTCAATAATTACATAGTATAATTTTATAGTTGATAGTTACATAGGACAAAAGCAATATTGCTATGTGATATGCAAAAAATTAATGGAGACAAATTGAGTTGAAACAACATATTTGATTCAATAATTACATAGGCTAATTTCTTAGTCAATAATCACATATGATAAATATCAACAGCTACTTGATCAATTACTTGTTCCAAAAGGCCGCCTTTAAAGCGAATATAAGCAATAAAATCTTTTAGCTCGAGCTTCTACTGAGGATTCAAGGTTCAACCTTCATTATGGACATTTTGAAGAAACTTCGGTTTCCAATTGCAGTGTCACTTTTGCCCCTTAATCCTCAGATCCACCTAGATAAAACCTTGAGTTAAAAAAAAGAAGATAAGTTTTATCATATCTAATAACCATAAAGCATCTTGGGAAAGCTATGATATATAGTTTAGTAATGAAGAGCTTGATCAGTTAACAAACTGTTTTGGAATCAAATCCGTACTCCATCATATTCCAAGAAAAACATTTTGCTAAATAAGTTAAGAAAATTCAAAAAAAAAAATGAAACAGCAATCAATTAAAAGTGGTTGCAATGTACAATAACATCAAGCTTAGTCACTAGTCCAAAGAGAATTTTCTTCTATAGGATGCATAGCATCCCATGCTGCTTAACTAAATAGGCTTGTCGACCCCACTAGGTGATTGAGCCATCCTCAATCACAATGATAATGAAATATCAAGGGGAAAAAAGAAGAAGCATTGTTAATTAACTCAAATAAGAAAGGCTAAACTTTCTTAACTGAAAAGAAGGCAACAAATTAAAGCTTTTACTGCCATCTTCCAACGTGTAAATAGATGAAGTGTTACCTTTATAATATACGTGACATGATCCATTAAGTGCCGCCTTCGACGGCAATGATGGTATTTATTTGACCAAATTGACCTGTACGGAGTAATAGTAGCAAGATGAACAAAAGGAGGAAAAAAAGATGACTTTCTATGGTCATATCATAATTTGAAACAACCCTTAGTAGGAAACTTTATTTTATCAACACAATGTAAGTCTCTTGATATGTCATAACAAAAGTCGAAATCAGCATGAGACTATGAGTGCAATGTCATTTACAATATTTCACAAGCCATGCTTTATGAAGAACAAAAACAACCAATAGAACACTACCTCTAAATTACCATTCCACATTGAAAAATGAAAAAGGAAGGATAAGCCTTCGCCTTCGCCTCCACCTCCACCAAAAACCATAAGATTCCATCAGCAAAACCCAAAAAAAAAAAAAAAGAGTACCTACAAAATATTTGCTGAGGAGAAATTCTCAATCCACATCATATACAGTGATCATCTGCATAAATGTCCAGATTTTTCCTACCCTCTCCTATCAAAATTTGTGAGGCGTTAAAAATATTGGGGGAATAAAATAAGATGAAACATTATGAAATAAAAAAACAATATCCCCACAAAAAAATGGCCCAAATTAGAATATCAAAATGCAAAACTCACTTGAATAGAATGGTAGGGATTCCATAATGATCGGTTGGAAGAAATTCAGCCACGGTGGTGGTATATCATCAAGAAGAAGGTAAGTAACAAAGGAGATGGAAAGAAGAGAGGAACCGAGAAGAAGAACTAATAAAGGAAGACGATAAAGGAACTATCTTTTTGCCACAACTTTAAACCACCAAACACAAACATGGGAAACATTTGAAAATTGGCAAACATGACTCATCATAATCCATTGCTCGAAAAATTTGAAAAGCATAAACATGAAATGCGCACCTTTCACGATTGCCCACATAAGGTATAGAATCCTCAACTCCCTCCCTATTTGCAGTAAACTGACTGACGACCATAACCTCCTCCACTATCGAGAATGTCAGGCCACGTTTGGGACACTCATCACTTATTCTATTTTTTAAATTTCCAAGTAAATATTATTATTATAAATTTATTGTTTCTAAAGTTGCCAGTTATATTTTAGACAATTATATTTGTCAAGTTGGAGTATTACTTGACTGATGACAATACTCCTTCGTTCCTAAATATAAGACCCCTATATTGGTGTGTATATAAGGGTCTTACATTTAGGACCGGAGGAGTATATATAATGCTTTTTAAAAGTTAAATATTTTGCATATTTCAATTATAAAAATTTGAAATTCAAAACTATTCTATTAACTAATAAATGACAAAATAGGCCATTTCTCATCTATAAGAAAATGCTCATACTTATTTTTCTATTTAAAATTATTGAAGAAGCAACCAATAAATAAAAATAGGAAGGTATGAGAGAGAAATTAAATATATTTTTAAATTTTTGAAATTGAATAAATAAAAAGATAATTGGTTAATAAGATTGGGAAGTTATATTATTTAATTTAAAATTTAAAATATTTATTGTTAATTCTAGAGAGAATTGTAAAATAATTCCTTATATTATTCATGATCAAACTATGGATGTATATACAAGAGAAGGGAGTCTAAGCATTAATGGCTCATTATGAGGCAATAATAATATATCAAATCCTATACTAATTGCATAATATTTACATATCCTTTCATATCTTTACACTCCCTCTCAAGTTGGAGTATAGATGTTAATCATGCACAACTTGTTACAAAGATAGTCAACCCGAGTCTAAGCTTTAGTAAATAGGTCACCTAATTGATCACTATACCTCACATGTCCGATAGAGATAAAGTTTTCTTTGAGCATGTCTCAGACAAAGTGACAGTTGATCTCAAGCTTTGTACGTTCATGAAACACAGAGTTGGATGCTATGTGCAGAGCAGCCTTATTATCACACCACAGTTTTACAGGTAATGTGGTTTTGAGACCAACTTCCTTCAGTAACTGGCATATCTAGACTACCTCACATACGGATTGTGCCATAGCTCGGTATTCTGCCTCTGCACTTGACCGAGATACCATAGTTTGCTTCTTGCTTCTCTGGGACACCAAATTTCCACCCACAAAGACATAGTATCCTGCAGTAGATGAATCTCGTGGCTTTTAATCCACCATGATCTGCATCACAAAAACACTCAATGTTTGTATGACCATGATTTTTGTATAGTATACCATGACCTGCACATCCCTTCAAGTAATGTAAAACATGCTCTAAGGCTTCCCACTATCTGATAGTCGAAGATGCCATAAACTGGTTAAGCACACTGACTAGATAAATGATGTTTGGGTGAGTCATAATGAGATAGTTCAACTTGCCAATCATTCTCTTGTATCTCTCGAGACTCTTAAATGGTTTGCTCTTCTCAGCCTCAAG